GGAGCCCCTAGTAGCGTCCTGGCTCCTAGTAGTAAGGCCAGGAGCCCCTAGTAGCGTCCTTGCTCCTAGTAGCGTTCACTTCGGGGGGACCTTGGGAACCCCCGCCTCGGTGTGCTGTGGGCCGTGGGTGGTGACATACCTCAGAAACACAAGAAGTGCCCAGGCTGCAGCTGCACGAGCTGAGGTGGCTGGAAGACATGAAGAGCTGAACAGCGCTGAAGAGTTGTCAAGTGTGCATCATTGAACTGGAACGAAGGAATCCAAATGTTGAAAGGATCAAAGTACTAGTACGTACTGGTACTACTTGTTGATCTTCCTGCAACCAGCCTTCCCCCGTTTTTTCATCGCTCCTCTCCCGATCTCCCACACTTTCCTAAGGACTTCACCAGCAGGATCCCACCACGTGGCAGTGCTTGCACTCCCCACGGAACCGTGAACATCGCACCTTCACATTGAGAACATCGACCGTCTCGACCGTCTGGAACCGTGACCCTTCTTTTCGTCACTCCGAACATCATTTCATCCACTATTCGGTGGAGGACGCTATGCTCGGTGGAGGCCATCGCAAATAGTAAGAAGAAGCTACGAACGTAGCTATGACAATTCATGACGATTTCGCTTCTCCACCAGCCGCTCGTTTCGAAACGCAAGCACCTGGTGGTGACCCCCGCAAACAGCTCCGTCCACCACACCACAGAAGTGACACCTGAGGAAGCAGCGGTGTGAGTTGGATGAGTCATGAACAAGCAATGCACAAAGCAACGAGCAACAAATCGCCCAGCCTGTTGGAATATCGCTCGCCTTTCATGTCGCGAAGTTTAGTCTGATACAACAAATCTGCTTCCAAGGATCCAGAACAATGAAATCAAGAACGACATGAATCATGAAGCTTTGCACACAAATACACAATCATAGCCAGCACATTTCTGCATGCTATCCAGCCGCAAAAGCGGTTGTGAGCGGGGCTTAACATGGCAATCTCTTCGTAGGATCCTTTGATGCCACATAGCTTGCATTCGCCTCATCTTGATGGCAGACGTGCAAATGGTCACGTCTGTGATATGTCATGAGAAAAAATATGTAATCTACAAATCATCTATAAAATACATGGCATCAGGTGATTCAAAGCCATGGAAACAGGTTTGACATGGTTTGACTCTTGCCTCTGAAACGCGGGCAAAAGCTTTGATGATGGCCATGCTCCTAGGACGGCGCGTGCAAGCCTTCAACGGCCCCTGGAGTCTCCGGGTCTCCCAACAGGTCTGGTTTGGGGTAGATGCTGAACAGAGCCCAAACCCACATTTTGTTGCTGAACAGGTTACTTTCTGAAAGGAAAAGAAGACAGATTCTCAGACCATGCACCAAAGAAGAGACTTCAAGAATTATTCTGGAGTATGTGGATATCCAAACTGAACAATATATGGACAAAACTGAACAATCCATAATATTGTGTTAGGCTATAGGCGTATAGGTTATTGGCAAGCGCTTGATCCACCGTCGTCACGTCGCTCCTTCGCCACGCACTCGAAGCCGCCTTTGCAGCCGCAATACTTGCAGGTGCCCTTGAACCTCCTCGGCATGCGAAACAGAATGATTCGGCATGTTTCAGGAACAGTCAGTAAAGCGGGTGAAGCAGGTGAAGCACTGAAAACGGCCAAAACAAACAGAGGAATGACCTACCTAGGCCCTAGGGAGAAATGAAAGGTCAGGTGCTGGCATTTCTCAAGTCAAGCCACGGGCAATAGGGCGCGTGATGTGCACCGACCCGTTCGCACTTGCCACGCTCTCCGTTGAAGGAGCAATGCACACACATGTGCGCCATGGTGCACTCAGAGAAACCCACGCTGCAGTCTTTTCCGCTAAGCGAAATGAACTATATATATAACGTTGACTACCAAACAATCCAAAAAGACATCTGATAAGAACTATATAAATATATCTATATAATTATGTATATTGTCATCACACTCTCACAATTGGTAGAGACGTGTAAGGAGATTGGTCCAACGAGAGTTGGGAACGATAATCAAGTTCCCAGTGTTCATGGCACCCCGCAGCTAGCAGGGTAAGTTCTAGCCCAAAGCCGCACAGATTTGTGACCTGGTGAGTGGACACTGGTGCCCAAAGCTGTTCCAAGTGCAAAATTGAGACACACTAAGCAACATGGAACAAAGCACGCTACTAGGAGCAAGGATGCTACTAGGGGCTCCTG